TGCTATACGTACAACCAAAAAAAGATTTTGTATTTCCATAAGTGGGGTAAAACTATGGAATAATTTAAGTGTAGACATAAAAAATAGTAATAGAATTGACGAGTTTAAACATAAATATAAAGGTATGTGTCAATCAAGATATATGCAAGAAGAGGTTTAATGATTAATTAGATGGAACATTGTGGGTGTGGTGTATGAATGTTAACACTTTGTAATAATTCTTTTGTATATTACTTTGTGTGTGTAGAAGTGAATCATTTACTGCTTGCAAACCAATGATGGTAAGATGATGTCATGGGGTAGGACTGGATAAGTCTGACTTCTTCCTACTCCATTCAAGCATGTACTAGGTATAAGCAAATTGATATTGGATTATGTGTAAAATTATGTGTGTTGTCATATCAACTGTTTTTACATGCTTGAAAGAATAAATCAAATCAAATCAAATCAAATCAAATCAAGTACACTGTGGCTAAAGCACACCCCGGAAAGCACCTTTGATGCTTTAAAATTCATTTTTGGTACTTTTTTATGTTTGAATCACTGCCTCTGAGATTATCCCTCATTAAATCTCTGATTCTGATTTAATCCAAGTATACTGAGGTTTCTCTTATGTATATACCGTATGTCCTGGCTTCCCTTCACTGGCTCCCAGTTTTCTGCAGGATTGAAGTTGATGATTCTTGTTTTTAATATTTTAAATGTTTGGCACACCAGTATCTCTCTGATTTCATTCAATGGCATGTCCCAGTTATATCTCTATCTCTTTATCTTCTTGAGATTTCAAAATCCTATCACAAACAAGGGGGCAATCACGCTTTTGCCATCATGACCCCAAAACGTAGTGATTTACCTTTTAATATTAGATCTGTTATAGATTTGCCTGTGTTTAAATATTTCCTTAAGACCTTTGTATTTATTAAGGCATTTAATGCTTAATGGAGTCTGCTATGCATTGTTGCTGGTTTTTGTTCATTTACTTGGTTTTAATGTTTTTAATTAAGCTTTTTTCTGATGTGATAGCGCTAACCACGGTGCCGCTCTGTTCAGTAACAAACAAGGTTTAATATAAGCAACACGAAACCAAAGACATATAATCAAATAGCACCATCAGCAAATACAATTAAATGGAAAACATGTAACAAGACTAATGAACAAAGATCAACAAAGATCGTCCAAAGACGAGGAACAGGGTGGGGGGTGGGGAATATATAGGCTGAGACATGAAGACAATGAACAACAGGTGAAGGTAAGCTGAGGCAGGTGAGATGACATGGAACAAGAAATAAAAGTACAGAACAGGAAGTAGGCGCACACCATGACAGGGAAATAGTTAGGAACTTAGTTATTTGTGTTTTTTTTATCCATTTGCTCTATTTTTTTCTGTATGAGTTGACATGTATAGACTCATATTTCGATTCAGTTGTTGCTGTTTTTGTATATTTCCATGAATACATTTCAGTGCTAAATTTTTGTAAGTAGACAACATGAATGCAATTGTAGTTGTTGAGCTGACCTTTAATCAGTAACCATATCCAGATCAGATTAAAATCAAATATATCAATAATCCAACAGATCTTTACTACCAAAAACACCTCAAATCACACAACTGGTCTCTAGGAAATGAATGCAAGTCAGTGTAAAGGGAATGTATTAGGTCAATGGCTCTCCTCACAAATATAGAAAAGACACAATGGTGTATCATAGAGTTTTAGGATGATGACTAGGTTTCAGGTTAGAGTGCAGTAGTAGGGGTAACTGCTATGGGTCTGGTAAGTCTGCAGGAAATACATTTAAGTGAATGTAATGTAGGATAATCACCTTTATTTGGCCAAGTATGTTACATACACAAGGAATTTGTTTCTGGTACAGAACCAAGGCAGCCATCTGTGGCACTAACTCACACCGATGGCTCTAACCATCTTGGGCAACTTGGGGGTTCAGTGCCTTGCCGAAGGACACTTCGACATGTGGACTGCGGGCACTGTGATTTGAATCTCCAACCCTCTGGTTGGGAGACGCCCGCTCTACCCACTGACCCACAGTCGCCCACACATATGTAATGTTATGTAATGTACATGTGTGTAGCCGGTTACCCATAGTCATAAATTCTATGGAGGAATATAAGTGATAATTAGTCTGGGATGTCACTGAACTGAAGAAACTGTCCTGTTCTGTTATATCCCCCCACCACACACACATCATGTTGTGAGATGCACACACACAGAAACACCTGAAACTGCCATTAGCATCTTCCTTTCCCCACTGATATGAAGGAAGGAAACATTTGATCAGATACACCACCAGACAACTTAGCTATGGTGTCAGTCACTGTTCTGATATCCACAAAAACATTTGGGGGTTGAAGAAAATTGATGAGCCTTTACCCGAGAATTCACCAGAGACCTAGGTTTGATAGCCTGCTGCTTACATGGTGAAGTATGGTGTTTAAAACATGTGCTAGCATTCCCTCTTCTCTGCATGTACATACACAGAAGCAGACACACACAAAACCATTTGAATTAGTATGTAATACTGAGATGTCTGACCTAAAAGAATCACTAATCATGGGATGACAGGGCTGTTTAGACATCTGTGATGAATGATCCTCCCCATGAGAAAAAGTGCAGGGAAACAGAAAAGTGGATTGAGTAAGGCAGAGAAAAGAGAGGTCAGGGTGACCCTGAGCTTAGATGATCCATGCCTGGTCATGTTAATCTTTTACTGACTCCCCTGCCACAGGGAGAATGTAGTGTAAGAGGTAAATGAGACCATCACTTTCCTAATATTTATAAAATTAATTCTTGATCTCCTCTGAGTAGTGTTTATATATTTAGAAAATACAGGTGGGTGTCTGAAATTAATATTTATTGGGAAAATTTTTATATTTAAGCTCTTTTTGTGTTAGCTGTATTTTGGGAACCTGACATGACACTGGCACACATTTATCTGGTGCATATTTATTATATCTGGTATTGGCACCAACATGGCAACAATAGAATAACTACTGTAGGAACTTTAAGGTGAAATTATGTAATTTTATGTACTCGTCAGCTAACACACTGTCCTTATAAGGGTTCATTAAATGATGCAACAGTTTATAATATTGCTATCAGCAGTAACAAATTAATATTGCATTCATGAATCTGTATTTGACCTAGAGTGGCAGAAAGACTTGATTATCCCTCTGGCAGACGCTTCGTCGTCCCCGGAACAGTGTAACGTACTATACTTAAAGTAAGTTTTGCAAATGTTGTGTTTGACCCGCATTTTTTTTTATTTTATAAATTTTGTTATTTTATTTTATTTTATTTAAAAAGACGTGTGTAAGATGCTACGCTGACAGTTCCTGTGCTGTGGATTGCATTGTTTACGTTGATTCTGTTTGTTCACCTGTCCGTTCTCATCCTCCTGCTATCCTAGTTCCTGTCGTTAGTTTGTGTGTTTACCGTCCTGGTCTCCTTAGTTATCACTGCCCTTCCCTTGTATGTATTATGGACCCTGTTTTGCTGTAATGTTGTTTTTATTCCATTAAACCTCCTTTTTTCTACTAGCACCTGGGTCAGCTATCTTGAGTCCAACCCCAGTTCTCCCTCACCCTCCTGGTGAGGGGGACTAAACCATAACAGTTATCTTTGGAAACATCTTATCGGTGTTGTTGTGACATGATCTAAATACACAGCAACAGAAAAACAAAATAATAGAAACACTTGCTTTTATCTGATTCTTTTTCTATTTTCTAAAGGTGAACCAGGATTAAACTATTTGGGCATCAGTGAAACATAATGGTTGAGTCATTACCCTTACTATCAACATTAAATCTCTGGGTCAAGATGACAAATTGGAGTCAAGAGTTCATGTAATTGTTGTTATTAAGCCAACTTGGTTTTATTGATTTTTACTGCTATGTAACAATTCCTATCTGTATTACCACTGCTAACTAAAGCTATGAATAAATATATTTAGGTCACTTCATGTTCATATGTTCACTGTGTCATTTCCTATGAGAAATACTCCTGTGATCATGTAACATTCAATTTGGCCACTAGAGGGCGCACAGCGTAAAGGTTTCATAGTACCTTGTGATAAGTGTACTGTGAATCTGCAGCGGGCAGACCACACACATTATTTAAACTGATACTACGATTTTTTTCTATTAACATAACCCTGCATTTTTTCAAAAAGCTTGACACATTGACAATATTCCTGTAGAGCTGGTGAGATGTCTGTTCTTACCAGTTACGTCACACTGAACATACTAGAACCACAGCAAAATTGTTCTCTTTTTAATTTAATTTAATACAGAATTAATAAACACAATCAAAAATGTCCTTTCGTCAAAAATGTATTTTTAATGTAAACTACCAGCTTAATTTACTGTAATGACCACTCTCCACCATTAGGAATTTTCCAGGTCAAAGGTCAAAGTGTTTATTTGTCATATGCACAGTACGGAAACGTGTTTCCCTGTACAATGAAATTCTTACTTTGCCGTCCACATGAATGCCACAAAATACAAATGAAATATAAAGTAGATAAGTAACAAAATCTAAGGCACTTTAAGCAGCAAATGCAGCAATATAATAAAAATATAATAAGAGAATGTATGCTGCATGGGAGCAGCATGTGCAGCAGTCAACAGTCAATGTGCAATTATGCATGTGCAAACTGAGAATGTAAACAGTACATCATGTATTTCCTGGTAATAAACTCCTCAGCTGTTTAGGAATTTGATGGCAGAGGGAAAGAAAGAGTTTTTCAGTCTAGTGGTCCTGCATTTCACACCTCTGAACCTCCGGCCAGAGGGTAGGGAGGTAAACAGTCCATACTGGGGATGGGTGGGGTCCTTGAGGATGGAGGCAGCCTTCCTACGCACCCTGCGGTGGTAAATGCTCTGCAGAGAGGGCAGTGGAGTCCTGGTGATCTTCTCCACAGTCTTTACCACTCTCTGCAGGCGCTTGCGGTCCATAGCAGTAGTGCTGCCATACCATATAGGAGGTGTGTTGTCTGTAACGTTCCTACAGTTGCATCTCCTTCTAACTCCTTCACGGTCTGAGCAGTACATGTGCGTGTCATCCAAAGCTGAACTCAAAAGCTGTTTACCTGGGTTGCTCAAGAGCTGGGAATTTCCTTACCTGAAGTGCTCTGTAATTTAATGGTCCAAACACAGTAGAACGCCTTTTAATTTGGCCCTTTCAAAGTCTCCAACATCAAATGAGGTTCTCAGATTTGATAAATCAACATTACTGCTTTCATAGCAGGTTATAGGCAGCCATAATAGTTCTTTTCCTTTCCGGACCATCAATGTGGGAGAGCTTCTCTGCTGCATTGGAATCATATTTTAGAACAAATATTACATTAAGTGAAAGTGGTTTCAACATGTCTAGCAGATTCATTAAGCTAGGGGTCAATGGAAAGCCAACCTTTTTTATTTCAGTGAAGCACCATTGCTAATGTGGGTGGTCAGTGCTCTGAGAACAGTCTTCTCATGCAAATTGTGTGTGTGTGTGTGTGCGTGCGTGTTTGAGCAGGGGAAAGAGAGAGGTGCTGCCTTTGAGGATGCTCCCTGTGTGACTCCTCTCTCTTCTCTCCCCGGACACTGTCTGCTTGTTGTTTTAGTAAACAGAAGGGTCCAGAGAGAATCCAAAACAAGCAGACAACCACCGCAGCCCACCCAGGAGCCAAGGTCAGGACCAGTAACCTTCAGACACATTCACACACTCATACACTAAACCCACCTCAACAGTCATTTTTGTTTAAGGAATTTTTATTTAAGACATTAACTCATTCACCTTAATGTTTGAAAAAATTCAATCTAGCAAGGTAACTCCATAGTCAAGGTAGTCATTTTCCAGCATTGGATAGTGGAAGTAAACTATCAGAAAGCTATAAAACTCCCACAGCCTACATGTGTATTTATAACTCCACATTTCCTTCAGTAGCTTTCTTTCTGAACATTTTCCATCTCTTGAATGTGCTGTGCTTGTCGGTAGAACACACCAGCATAAATACTGGAGTATTTACATTAGCTGAAATAGTTCGGTGACATAATTACCACCTTGTCTCTCAAACTTTGCAGTAGAGCACACTGAGATTCATTCTCAGAGAAGTTTTAGTTGTAATTATTTCTCCCAGGAGTAATAATACCTACCACTTCTCTCCTATGCAGGATGGAGGTCTTTGAAACTCAAGAAGATAATTCCAACCCTTCGTCTTCAAAAAAATAGGCTGTCAGGGATGGGCTGCACTGTCAGCAAGGAAGACAGAAAGAGTTAGAGGATGAGAGAAGAGAAGTTTCAGAGAGAAAAGAGATGAACTGAAAAAAGAGAAGAGAAAAAGAAAAGGCCAGTGACTTCTCTGATGGCCCAGTGCTCACATGTGGCTAGGCTTTGCTTGTATAGCCTCACTTCAAGGCGAAGGGCCCTGCAAACATAAACAGTAGAGAGGCTGCAGCTGGAGCAGGGAGGCAGCCGCTTGCTTACCGAGACTTCTCTACACTAAACAATGGATCAAGTGACGCACAGGCCTTTGGCAGTGCAACAGAGACCCAGGCGGCTCAGAAAAGCCTTTCTTCCTTACGTTTATAACCCCGCTCTCTCAATATTTACCCCATGGGAAAACACAATTTTCCATACCTTTTGTTCTGAAAGGAGCAAAAGAGCAGACCTCCCTGCATCCTCCAGGACAGGGTCTGAGAGGACAAATGTCCTTCTGTGCAAAACTTGGGAAGAAGACATTGTACAACTCCGCCTAGAGTTTCATCGCTTACTGATCCATACAGGTGTGGAATGAATAAAGCTTCATTTTGCACAGCCTCTCCTTCAGTACAATTCACTGATAGTCACACACATAGCGATGTCCAGCTGTGATGAGGAGAAGCAAACAAAATGAGGATTAGTCTATCACTGCGTGCTTTACTGCCTTAGAATTTACACTGTACAAGTGTGTGTGTGTTGTGTTATCTCTTTTATGGTAGGGCACTATAGGGAACAGAAGGATCCAGGAGCCAGTGAATTAACCCAAATTATAGGTAATAGTTACCTGGGTAACTGGATAGGAATGGAGGGCAAATGGTGTGTAATTTCCTAATGAACATAATGAGTTTTCTCATTCACATTCAGAGACCCCCCGAGTCTATTACTATAGCAACATGAGGACTCTGTAGCTCTACCCTCATGTTGGCTTTTTGCTTGCTGAGCCACCTATAAGTTTTTCAAAGGCCTTAGATAGAAACTATTGTCCTCTCATAAACATACATGAAGTTTGTAATGATATATTATTACAGTTGCCCCGAGGAGAGGCCCTTACAATAAATGTTTTCTATCAGCTTCTTATCATGAGTGATACAATTCCATTGATTGTTGTCCATTGATGGGTTGTTGGGACTTTTGTTTGTCATCTTGTTGCTTGTTTAGTCATGGACTTTTAATGTTACAGAGAAACACTTCAAACCAAGTTTTCAGCAAGTTTGCATACATTCCTAAGAGCAGAGAATGTAGGCCTGTGGAAAACTGAGCCTGGAGACCCCAGTCAGTGTGGGTCAAAACTCAGTTATGGCTTTTAACTAATCAAATCAAACTAGGTGTCACAGTCTGACTTCTACAAATATACAGACAGCGTCAGAGCCGTCCCTCTGCTGCTCTCTTTGACTCTCCACTTCATAACACGCTTACCCAGGTTATAGTGGCAGGAAAATATAAACAGACATCTCACCCTGCCCTTGACATAAAAAGACAAGACACTAATGGAAGAACTGGAAAAATTACACCATCCATTTGGTGGTATTTCTTGTGACTTCTTCTCACTGTGTGGGAAATTGCACCAGATGGCATGTAATAATAAAATGCAATCACCAGACTGACTTGAGCTATTGTCAGTGATCACTCAAGGAGAATGTACTGTAGGTCTCACTCCAAATCCTTGGCAGAACACCACGACTAGCATTAGGGATAAGGGAGCTTTGCTCGCCACCTAGCCACGTTAACTGCCGTGGTTTAGGCTCCAACCACTGTCAACTGGAGATTCTCACTGGAACCAGGTTATGAAGACAGATGGGGATCTGCAGAATCTAAGCTCCAACAGAAGAACTGATGGGGAAGGGTTTGGGGTTGGATAAGGGGCTTTTTTATTCTCATCTGTCTGTGACTTTAACAGGTCTGACACATGTGGCCTCAGTATGTGGACTGTTGACTGTGTTGATGTGTGGGATCAAAATGCACACACACACTATTAACCATCCTCTGCGTTCTGTTGAGGCATATAGTCCTTTCGTTTGTTTACTGATTGCTATCAGCACTTTTACATTTCTGCTAAAGACAACACTTTCACATAGCAGCTCTGTTTGAGTTCTATTTACTTCAGTGAAGCAGCTTGTGTTCATATTGCAATGAAAACAATGAAAATGAGTTCGATATGCTAATAACATTTTGTGTTTTTGGAATATGTGTCACCATAGCAGAGTTTTATACACACCTCTGCTAACAGTGCAAGATAATGAATGAAAGAATGAGTGTCCTACTCACCATCCCTCATCTCCCAGCTCCATTAAGTCTTCGACTGCTTATTGTTATTTCACTAACAGCACAGCAGCTTCCACTCTGAGGGGCACAACTGCACAGAGCCACAGACTATTAGATTACTGCTCAATGCACTGTGAAAGGAAACCACACCATCTACACTATAGCCACACTCTCATGGGGAGTGGGAGGTAGCGAGAGGTTCAGAGTGACAGACAAGTAACTGCTGTTAAAGGGGTTTTAAGTGATATCTCTGCAGGGTCACCACCAGGGTGGCATTCATGGTGTCCTGTAATGACGATGGCTAACGCCTACAGCAGGTTGGGATTGTCTGTCAAATCAACCACTTGACATCAGGTGCAGCAAGTCTGTGACATGGTGGCACTGAAATTTTGCTACAGTATAAACGCATCCAAGAGGCATAAACACGTTCGATATCCCACTTTAATTGCTGGGAATTTAAAATATTTTTTACTTTTTTCAAAGCAAAAATACTAATGATTTGATAGCTTCTCAAATGTAAGAATTTGCAGCAACACAATGACATCATTTTTGTCCCTGGGAAAATATCATTTTCTGTCCTTTTATAATGCAGTCAATTACCTGATCATCAAAATACACATTTACTATTTAGATCGCCCTATTTAGATTTTTATACATTTCTCCTTTAAACCAGAAAAAAAACAACAACCTAAAATGTCTCTTCTGTTTTATTTTTTCCACAGGAATTTCTCATTAGTCTTCCAGAGACTCCTGCTCTGTTCTTCTCCAGACCTATCTCTGGCTGAGATGCAAACTCTCTGCACTTCTGCAGGGTCTGTTAACCTGTTGATACTCTCCTCATTACCCTCATTCAGGATATCCCAGAAGTCTTTGTGACAGTGCTTTGAAGCCTGCACTGGTGTACTCGCTGGGTGTGTAGTTTGTGTGTGAGAGGCTGGAGAAGGCAGAGGGTCTGAACCAGAATCAGTATTGAGAGTGATTCTGGATGATGTGGGGAGACGTGTGCTTACTGACACTGAGGAGGATGAAGGTGGTGTTTTTGAGGTGCTCCTCTGTTGTGCCCCCCTGGATTTGGGTTTTAATAAATCGTCAAGGATTGAGGCGTCTCCTAACAGATCTGTGAGGAAGGAGCAATTACTGGAGCTAGAAGGGGCCCGCTCAGACGAAAGGCTCTGACAATTTTCTCTCTGCCCTTGAAAAATTTGACAAGTTGTGGAAGACAATTTCTGCTCTTGCTGCTTTCTCTGTACTGTGGGTTTGGACACCATGGTGGACCTACCATGGCTGAGGTCCGGAGAAGAAGAGGAATCTCTGTCTGTGCGGTTCAGGAAAGCAGCGGCCTCCCCAGCCCCCAGACCGCTGCTGCTTGCTCGATCCATGCCAAGACCACCACCAGCTCTGTAGTCTGCAGAACTAGAAACAGTATCCCTCTTTGTCCTCTTGTGTCCTCTGGCACTGCAGACACTCTCCTCCTCATCCTCTGACACAGGGCTTGGAACATCACTCAGAAGTACTAGCACATTCCTTTGTGGGAACTTTTGTTTTTTCAGGGGTTCTGGATCATCATCTTGTGGCTTTCTGGGCTTTGTCTGGGATTCTGGAACATTGTTTTGTGGGATTCTAGACCTTTTCTGTGTCACAGAAGCATTGTTTTGTTTAGTGTGTGGTTCCTGTTTCTCCTGGGTGTATTTAGGCTTTTTCATGGTTTTTGAAACATCCCTTTGTGGGGTTCTGGTCTCTGCCTGAGATACTGTTGCAGCTGTTTTGGTGGATGCCGAGGAGGCAGCAGCTGGCGAGGAGGAGGTCTGTGCTGAGTCAGGTTGTGGGAAGTTGTTTGTGACTGTACTGGCTAGGTCAGGGCGGTTCAGTGAAGTGTAATACTGTCGTAACCAGGCCAGTCTCTGGGCTGAGTTTCTTCTTAGAATCGCTACTGCAAACTGATAAACTGAGGAAAATTTGAATTGTTCTGCCATTTCCTCGAACTGCTGCCTACACACAAGCACACAAAAGACACAAAAACAGAAATGAGTGTGAAAAATGTACAACAATGTATCAGACATAGATAACAATATGCTTTTATAAATCGCTGCCTTCTAATATCCTGTCAACATACTTAATATTTGCACACATAGAGAATATGGCACTTGCTAGCATACTGTAAGGTATTTTAAAATCACACTTCTTTAAAAAGCCTCTATTATTAATCAGACATTTTGTGGACCCGTCAGGCCTGCCTCAGATAAATAGTTCTCCACATATTCAGGCTCATACCCAGACAACCATGCATTATGAGGTATTTTTCCTGAGCTCCCGGGCAGTCATTAAAACGATGGCATAAGTAGATGTGGGGACAGAAATAGTTCAAAGTTACTGGTTGTACAGCAGCATTGTGGTGGTTTTATTACCATTTGTGGCTTTTACTGGAAAAGCAATAAATAAAAGTAATGGGAGTAAAACATGGTGTGCATGTGGATTTAAATCATTAAACAGCAAGGGGATATCACTATAACTAGTGTGTATTTTCAGTCCCTGGTGAGTCTCTGGGCAGAGATACAGTCTTTCCCTTGGGGAGTGGGACTGGAGCCACAAAGGTGAATGTGTGTCTGTATGGTTGTTTGGAAAGTATGGGAGGGAGGTGAAGCAGCGGGACAGAGGTGTGTGTTTGAGTACTGTGTCTGTACGTGCATAAATGCATGTTAGGTGCGTGCGCATGTGTATGTTTATCAGTGTGGGTTTGGAAGCCCTCAGGCGATCATTTTTGGTTAGTCTCAGAAGGGCTGTGGTTGTGAAGAAGAAAACTCCTGCACTGTTGGGCCTGAACATAATTGGGTAATCTTTGGCTTGATGCTGGAAAATAGGTGGAAGGGACAGCTCAGAGGTGGTCTCTTGCTACACACACTGACGCAATTCCTGGGGCCAGGTGGGGGCATTCAAAACTAGACATGTGGTGAGTTTTAGCCTATACATCCCTACACTACCAGGAATTCTTACCTTCTTTTTTAACTTCCCCATTACTTATTACACCCCCCAGGCTGTTCCTTCCACATTCCCTTGCCTTAGTCCCACCTAAACTTGTCTCTTTTGATGTATCTTCATCTTTCCTTTGGTATACCTACCATAATTTCTACTCTATGTTCTCTTACTGTTGCTTTTTCTTCTCCATATCTGTCAATGGTAAATCCATCATCTCATTTCTACAGCATTCTGATACCCTTTAAATACCTGCGTATTGTCTGGGGAGTCTCTCCAATGATGAAGGTAGTGTGTCTGGTGTGGTGCACGCTCTGGCTGGTGAAGATGACTGGATGGTTCACAGTGGGCATCTCCAGCCTGACAACAGCAGGGGAGGGCTCAATGTCTGGTTGGCTCACTGACAGGCTCTGGGACAATCAAACAAGAGTAAAGTTTTAGAGAGGCAGCTCAAGGCTCATCACACTCACTAAACCAGACCAGTGATACGTTGGACTGTACCTCCTGGGTGCCTAGAAGGTGATTGGCTGGGAACTGAGAGTACATCTTGCGTTCAAACACATCCCGTACAGCTGCTCTACTGATCAGCTCCTCTGCTTTGCTCCCACCCACCACGCGCTGGTTAGAGTGGGTATATAGCACCTCCTGCACACCACCTTTAAACAGAAATATACCGCATTAATGTCTAAATTAAGTTCATTAGGAATTATTAGCATGTTAAAATAGGAATTAAATCTGACCCAATATGCTGTCAATGGTTCCATCCTTTCCTTTGGGTGCTAGGCAAGTTTGACTTTTCAGACTTGTAAATGAAACAGCTTTGGACATTCCTGTGCGTCTCTCTGTTCTGTCAGTTGTTGCTTTTTGCCCATCTTTTGGCACGTCATCTCTGGATCTTTCCATCTGCGGAGCTGTGAAGTGACATCTTGTAGATCTTTCTTTCTGGACATGAATGTGTTCATCGTCTGAAGACGTGAATGTTTCTATTTCTTCTGTGTATTTCGACGTGGCCGTACTCCTTACAGTAGCATGCCTTTTATGACCAAACCTTCCTCTCCCTTTGTCTTGTCTTCTAACACGTGAATTTGATGCATCCTTCTTAGGCCATGCAGTCATCTCTAGGTCTAAATCCTCAGATTCCTCAGAATAACTCTCAAAGCGATGCATTGTGGGAATTGTAGTTGTGAGGTTGTCAGGCTTTTTGTCTGGTGAGGGGTTTTTATCACTCTCCTCAACAACTGTAATTTTCTTATTTGTCCACCCTTTCAGGCATTGTCTTTTTATTACAGCATCATCACTCTGCTTATCTCCATTCCACCCATCTTCTCTGTCTGAACCAATGTCCAAGGATTTTGTTTGCAGCTTAGAGAGACAAACTGCACCATTCCCTGTTTTGATGCCAGTGGAGGTCCCTTCCCTTTTCTCCTCAGTGTCTGTGTCAGAGGGGCTTTCTTCTACTTCCGGACTACTGTCTCCATCCAACTCTGGTTTTCCTTTAACCCTTTCAAGGAGTCTGGAGAAACCATGCTGGAGGAGACTTATTTGACCAGGACTAGCGGCAGCATTCCCACCTCTGTTGCTACCCACTGCGTTGGGGTTTGAGGCCTTCCTCTTGAGCCCCTGCTCCTCCTCATCCTCTTCACTACCACTGCTGAAGTCCAGCACCCCACTGGGGATCTTTGATGCACCTCTATTCTCCTGGCCTGTTTCATCATTCAGTACAGAGCTGTGTGTAGGGGGAGAACCTGCCGGTTCCTTAAATAAAACAGTAGAAACAAATTGTTAAAAAATAGGGACAGACTGGCACAGAAAGTAGCACAAGGAAGGCAGCATGAGAACAAGAACTTGATATGAGAAATGTAAATAAATGATATATACACTGTGTGAGAAAGATGCCATCTTTCATTGGACCATTTCACTGTGTAATGCAAAACAGATGTTTGTGTCAATAAATCACAGTAAACATTAGTTGAACATATTGTCTCCATCAAGATGTAACATGAAGAAAACAAAGGAGTCATAACATTTCCTGGGAACACACAAATGGACCTTTATGGGAACGACAACCAAAAGCAATTCTAATTTCACAGAATATGCCAAGTAGATTATGCCCCGTTTTGAGGAGCTTGTGTGTTTGTGTGTGTGTGTGTGAGTGCGCGCATGTAAAGGCACCCTGGTGTATCCTGTATTTTTGCAAGAATCTAAATGGCTTCGGTGGAGCCACAGCCCTGTAAAAAGGACACAGCCTGGCTGGGAACAGGATGATAAGGGGTATTACTGTGTAAACAAATGGCTGAAAAGTAGACACTTCAGTGTGGTCTGCTCCTTCCATTAGGACAAGTAATTATATCCAGCTGTTTCACGCAGTATGAAAGAGAAAGTGAGAGGCAGACAAAGAAAACCTCATCCTTCAGTTTCACTAAAATACAAAATAATGGGTGTAAAAAAAACATTTTCTGGGAGCCGAGGCCCTAAAGTGGTACACCACCGAAAATCTAATGAACTGCACTTTTTCAAAGAGTGTTAAATATTAATGCCCTGTGTGATTAGACGGTTGCTGTAAAACATTTGTCCTTAGTTTTCAACTGACAGACAACAGGAGCAGAGGTTCTTCTGCAGTTCAGTCATTTACAATAGACTGCAAAGGTGATAGGTTTTCATGGGGATAAAAGCATTAAAACCTTCATATAAACTTCTGAAAACACATAATGCTTATTAAGTTGCAAACACTACTTAGGAAAAGCTTTTCAGTTTTAACATAGTGATAATGTGACATGAAACAAGTGTATTTAGCACTGTATTGCTGAACGAGCAGACACTGAGAAATTTCCATTGATTATTTTCATACGTTTTATCCACTAAAAAAAAAATCATATGACCATATGAATCTGTTGTATCTGTCTGCACGCAAGCTAACCACAGCTGCCATAAGGAAGTAATGTAATTTATCTCACTTTGACTATTTGGAATAGGAGCTGTTCTTTTTCTCATAAATGGAACATATGCCATTTTGGAATAAACCACATAAAGAGAATAGGAAGATTATAAAACAGAAAAATTGAAGAAGCAATGTTTAAAATATCTACAGCCAAAGTAGAAAAAGTTAAATGAGGCTGTGTGGTTCTGTTGATTGACAGACAGGAAGGTGCCTGTTGGAAGGATCCTCTATATCATGTGGCAATGGGAGGATGAGTGAACCCCCCCGGCAAAGGAGATGGCGTGAGGGATGGGAAAGATGAGCGCCCTACGTTCTGAGTCTCTGAGAATGGCAGCTACTCACACTAACTCCCTTCTTCCCCTCCTCCTCTTCACCTGTGTGTGTGCTGGTTGTCATCACACCGGCCTCCACTTGGCCTTCTCGCTGACAGGAAGAGACACATATTCATCAAAAGGAACATTTCACTGCACATCAACTCAGTGTTGTCACAATCTCCAACAACACACTTAAATGCACAACACTGTATTTTTGAATAAGTGCAGTTTGTCTCAAATTTTAATATCAAACCAAAAATACTTAAGAGTTAAGGGCCCAATATTCTTGTGAGAATATGACCACATAAGAGTAAAGTTCATAGAATAGAAACAAGGTAAACATTTTATAAAGCCTTGTATTGTGACTGGGGATATGACTCAGTACAGTACAAAAAATATGCCATCAGTAAAAGGCACATCGGCTATCTGACCTCTAGTATCTGACGGGTGAGACATGTCCCTTGGGTCTGCAGCCTGAAGAGGTTTTTAATCCCAAACAGCTCCCCCTTATGGACACCATGCCCCTGCACTGCCTCAAAGTACCGACGGGCGCTCTCCTTGCCAACAACTGAGCACTGCAATTGCTGGAACATAGAAGAGAAAGTATGGATACGCAATTATAAACAAATTAACATAAGTTGCTAAACTGAATTTGGTGTTGAAAATAAAATCCTCTTTCATCATACGTTTGTGAAATGCTAGCATGTGGAATCGACCCTAGCTGCTTTCCAGGTAGGGTGATGTGTTTCCAAAGGGGGAAATCAGGAAAAAACCCCACAATTTTTATAATTTCTTACTGAAGAAATTAAAAACCTGATCTTGTCTGAATGTAGCAGATAGAATAAAAACACTTCCATCGTATTTGAGGCTACTGTGACACTCTGGTACAACTCTCTGTTGTAATAGAAGTAGCAGAACAGATTATCTTCATATACGAGTATGTCCCTTATGTGCATCGCTGAGATCACATAATGATTACATGGTCATAATTATCTGATACCTGTTTGTAAATTTGTCTGAGGTAGATAACCTCCTCAACAGAGCCCAATGAAATCAGCCTGAGAACAGTCACATCCCTGCACTGGCCAATACGATACACCCTGCAGAAAAACACACAAACAGATATCAAGTGGTACAACACACTGATGTTAAACCAATCACAAAATTCTGAAATACAATAAAACATCTAGAGCTGTAACAGAGTGCGCTACAGTAAAATCTGTGCCATGGCCTACAACCTACCTGTCAATAGCTTGGAGGTCATTTGCTGGGTTCCAGGTGGGGTCAAATAGCACTACCACATTGGCCCCTACAAAGTTAAGACCAAGACCACCTGCCCTACTCCAACACAGAAGATGTTATTGTTAGGTTCAAGATTTTGAATGTTTACAATTTATTGAGACAGAAGTAACTGTAGTAGGTGCAGTATCAAATATTCCTATACAGTGTTGATGCAGCTTAAACTATTAATTTGAGGTAAAAGGCCTTAAATACAAATATTAAATATAAGGGGAAAAACACTTTTCTATCTAGTTGTTACTGTTGCACTAACATGGTGGAAACCAGACAGAGGTTGATGTGAGAGGAACTGTTGAATTCTTTGACAATCTGAACTCTTTCTCTGGATTTAGTGGTTCCGTCCAACCTGCTGTAGTCCAGCCCCTCGGCCATGCAGTAGCTCTCCAGCACATCTAATAGCTGACAGGTTTAAAATAAACAGTTATAAACAATTCAAAGCACATGAATCAACTGACAGCCTGTATGAGAGATGAAATATAGATGCTAGACAAACAAATCTAATAAAAAAAAAAATAATATCCTCTGTGTGTATATTTATAAATAAACTATAGAGATAATACTGAGCTTTGCCCTATATTGGCTCTACAGCATGATTCCCACAAAAACATAACATACAGTAGGCAATGAAAATATGTTTTCATAGCAGACAAATATTATGAACTGTCCTTATGTGATGCAATCATTAGACAGCAGAGTCTAATTAACTTTAACAATTTAACAAAGAATCTTGATGCTGTATTGAAAGCCTGAATAGATGCAATTGCATGTACTGTACATCACTAAAAGCAACAAGCATACTCCAACTTTGACACCATCTGTAAGCTCTGTAATTATATCACTGGGAGCATCAAATAATTCTGGTACAGGTCTCACCCTGCTGCTCATCCTAGTCTCACACAACATTCATCAATCTCTACAATCATGAGTGCAAAATAATAAACACACACACAAAAAAAAATTCAGTATTCTATGATCTCAATACACACAAGGTACCCACACAGTACTCACCTTGGTTGACAGAGAAAAAAGAAGAACTTTCTCTCTCTTTTGCAGATAGTATTTGAGCAGCTTCTGCAAAACCTGAGAGGAATAGATATGTTAACACAAACTGAAATGGTCCATAATGAGAAAGTGACTAAGCCTTTGCTCCCAAATGGTACCTTCATTTTCCCACTGTACACTGGGTCTGACAGGGCCTCAAACGCTTCATCTTTGCACCTCTGCACAAAATCTGGAAACTTTTGGAAAACCTTTTGGCAAATGGCGTTTACATATTTTTCCTAGATGAAATAAATGAGCTGTGTTAGTGAACTGAATGATATGGTCCATAAGTTAGCTCTAACGAACAAGCATACTAAATCAGTAACAAGATAACATGTTTCTACCTGTTTCTTGCTGGTTCCTGTAGTAGACTGAAGTAGTGCTACATGATTGGCAACCTTCCTCAGTATGGCCAAGTAACTGAAGTATAGTGCCTTCATTTGGACACCTTCAGAGTTTGTCTGCAACACAAGAAACTCTAGACCAATCCTTAATTTTTCAACCACATAAATTTAAAGGTCCCTCACTACATTTAAAGGACCAGCCAATCAACCGGTGAATTGTAGCAAGCTCTATGTTGTCTTTTGAATGTGTACTGTAGTACCCTTTGCATAAAAAGTACAATGCAGAAATACAACATTTTCAGTTGACCTAAATTACTAACTAGAAAACATTAAAGCTAAGTGGAAAAATGGGTTAGTGTGATTTAGATTTGAGCATTTAAAGTGGAAAAATGTGTAATTTGAAAATCAATATTACACACATCCACACTAAACTTTAATGTGGATCTGTAGAAAATAGCTCAACCCCTACAATCAGCTTTCCCTCTGTGCATTACATGCATACAAGGGCACACACAGGTAAAAGTGGTCAACAAACTTTGTAACAGCAGGCTCTGCGGGTGCGTCCACTTTGACAATCACATTTCTCTGAAGACCTCAACAATAACGTCACATCTTCAGTGTCCAGCACCGTCTGGTACACAGTCTGTTGAATGTCTGACAGGGAACAATACACCACCTAGGACAAAACACAACACCAGCTTTCTGTGAGGTATGCTTTGAGACACCATAGAGCTTGATCTGACTACGACAATAATGAACCATTGTTTCAGGAAAAAAGAAAGCCATTAAAATGATAAGTGCCTGGTTTGACACAATCAAACATACCCTGTCATCCTTCTTAGGCAGTTCTTCTTTGATAAGAGCTTTAGTTCTTCTGAGGAACCAGTGAGAAATCCTACTTGCCAGGACTCTGACAGTCTTCCTCCCTATAGCTAAGGCACGTTTGGTTGCACTGTGTCTCTGCCCTTGCTCAATCGGATCTGAAAACTTGTTCTTGAAATGTCCTAAGCTGCCAAGACAACCAGGTATGGCCCTAAACAGATTGAATACATGTATGAAAGCTAATAAGTACTCGCATCACTTCCACTTCAAGGAGCAAAATGTAAATATCCAAATGATAAATTACATGTGTTATATGCTACAATATGTAATAAAAAGTATTTTAACTTACCAGTCCATGACACACCACAGCTCCTCAAGGTTATTTTGTAAGATGGTGCCAGTGAGACCAATTCTAATCTGGTAAATATAGAAGTGCAAAAGTAGCATCAAAAGCATGGCCCACACACAAATCTAAGTTTACATTTTAATAGCTTCTTATTATGATGGTGGCACAATTTAATGTATTTTCAATACAGCAGAAATGAGGACTATGAAGTGCAGACTTTACCCTTAATTATAAATGACAAATACCACAGCACTCTTCAGCCTTACTGAAGCCACACAGACTAACTACTACCTACTAATTACACACTAATAACAGTGAAACACACTGAAATAACACAAACTCCTCTGACCTTACACCTCAGCTCCTTCATGGCCTGAGTGACCTGAGAGTTTGGATTTTTTATCTTGTGGGCTTCATCCACGACCACAGCAGACCAGTCTATGCTGCAAGGAAGGAAGAGGTAATATATTTTAGTCATGGTGCTTAAGTAGCAGAAAAATACACACTTACAAAAACTAATTCATCATATATTTGATAGTATTTGTTGCATGTGTGTGGTGATTGTGGTTCTTACTTATTAAACTGATCCAGACAAAGGCGCAGAGTTTCGAAGGTAGTGAGAGCAATCTCAATGTGTCCCTTCTTAATGCGAGCCAGTTCCTCCTCTTTTCTCAGCCCGTGCACCACCACAGACTGGAAGTAACCCCATGTGTCCAGTTCATCTTTCCAATTATAAAGCACTGACAGCGGGGCCACAATGAGGAACACCTAGACCAAATCATTGAAACACAGAAATCATGCTAATAACAAATCAATAATCAAATATGTAGCTTTATACTGTTATTGCACTTGTTAGAATTAATCTACTTTTTGAAAACAAAATGCCTTATGAGTCATAACATTTCTTTATTTAAATAGCATTTTTCAACACCTACTTTCTTGGGTTTACTTTGTTCTGAAGGCATCTGACTCTGCAGAAACTGAGGCCTGTTGTTCTTGATGTCCTCCCATGTGCCTGTTTTGTGCAACACAGCAGCGAGGAAACCAATGACCTGGGATAAGAAGAAAGATGAGGTGAGAATAAAAGCAAAAGAGCCATGTGAAGAAGAAATGCAGACACTTTATGAAAACAGCTTTGCAGTTAATGTACTATGTACCTGTACAGTTTTTCCCAGGCCCATGTCATCCCCCAGGATACAACCTCTGGAACGCACGTAGTTGTTATAAATGAACTTTATACCTCCTCTCTGGTAATCCCGCAGGTATCTGTTGATGGTGTAAGGGACTCTGTCTCCATCTACATCACTAAGCACTAAAGGGACGTGCATGGTGTCTGTGGCAAAGCTCGGAAACACAGGTTTTTCCTTGTTGAAGTCATTCAAACCTGGTCTCATGAGTTCTGAAAGAGGAATGGCTTCCACCTCCTCTTCTTTCTCTCCTGCATCTTTATTATGGCCAGTAAACATCACCCATGCTGTAGTTTCTATATTAGGAAGGGTGGAGACCAGTCTTTGGATAGTGGCTTCTCTCAAGGTGCCGTCTCTAGTGTTTGGAGCCAGACAACGGTCACCTTCACGCCATGGTGCTGCAAAATGTTGTTGATACTGTATTCATTTATTGTGCTTTGCAACATGAAGTACTGTATAGCATAACATAACAATACTCATTAAAGGTACACAGATAACATAGTTGTTAGTGGGGTGTTTAAAATAACAAAACGCTCCATAAATCAAAGAAAATACGACAGTAAATAATATTTTTACAGGAGGGGATTCAGGGACATTTACCAACCATTATACTCTAACAATGCATTAGTTAGTTCCACCTAATATACAATTTTACCCATTAACTGATTAAGGTTAAATCAAATCAAATGAAGAATAAATCAAATCAAATCAAAGGTACAATGTTATCATATAGTAACGTCACGTTAGTCGATGCTCTGTTAAGCAGTTATGCCAAAATATAAACAAGCTGCAGAGGCTTTGCATGGCAGTACCATCTGGGAAAACGGTGACCAACAGATGTAGCAAACAATGACGAACAAATGTAGCAATGACAAGCTTTACAAACCTTTTTCAATTACAGAAGCTGAAGCCATCAGGGCACATTGTTAAGGGCAGTCTTCTTAATGGAGAAGTCACTGTAGCTTGTTTGCTAGCTTATATTAGCCTAACTAACATTAACAACAAAATAAAACCGCTAAAGTCCGAAGGACACAGAAAACTGAGATAATAGAAGTCAAATATCCTGTGCAAGTAGTTCATATTTTTTCATCCGTAAATGTTCATTTATCTGGCGAAAATACACAAAGAGACACACAGCAAGACCAGCAACATCAACGCCGCACCGAAACTTGACGAATGTTTATCTATTTTCACAACGCACTTTCGAAGCATTTCAATAATTTCAAACTAAATAAAAAAAAAACTCTATTCGAAAATTTACTAATCACTTTCCTAATATGTTTGCATAACGAATGTTTTGATGATTTAATCCTTTTTTCTGCAACAAATTTTACTGTCAAGGATTGTATTGAAAATGCTGAAGAGAATCTTTCTGTGATTTTTTTTCCTTTCTATGAAATAAAACAAAACATATTATATTCAAAGTTTTACTGAAAAAATAAATGTGGTAATAACATCTGAGTAACATCATGGCCTCATCGGTGTTCTTATTAGTGACTTATAAATGACGTTACATTCATAGGTGGAAAGTAACTAAGTACATTTACTCAAGTACTGCAGGCCACTTCGGCCTAAGTATCGATTTATCATCTAATAATACAGCACTATTATAGTCCAATAATATGATATACATTCATTTGAACAGTGTCAATCTGCACAATGAGTAGGACTTTTAGTGCTTTTTATATATATATTTATATTTAAATTTGTTCTATAACTTTGGTACTTTTGCTTAAGTAACTATTTGAATGCAGGACTTTTACTTGAAACAGAGTATTTTTACACAGTGGCAACGCTACCTCTACTTAAGAAAACAATCTGAGTACTTCTTTCACCACTGGTTATATTAATATAATAGGCTATGTTCATTTGTCCTTGCAGCTTACACTATGCTTATATTCTACTCATATAGGCTGCCACATAGTATGTAAATTGTGAAACTGTGAAAGAATTCCTGCAAGGATAGACATTTTACTTAATGAAAGTAATTAAACATCAGATATGATTAATTTAACATCATATAGATACCCTTCTTAGTTGCTGTCTTTACCCAAGAATCATTAAGTAATTGATAAAATCTGTCTATAAGACTGGGGTAAAACTGTATTGTTCAGATACTTGCAGAGCACTGGCACAAAAAAGATTCTTAGAGAAGAAATAAAACAAGAGTGCCATCAATCAGTAGGTTTATTGCTTCACTCAAAGAATATCAAAAGCAAATCTTGACAGAAGCCAAAAGTATGTAAGTAGTTCAGTAAAGACACACAAATCTTGGTGGTCTGTAGAAATAAAGTAACAACAAGATTTGCAACAAGATTTGTTTATCTGTTCTCTGGGGTTGCTATGATGGCCATCAATAAGCTTACTTTAAGCTTATCTGTTGCTATGCAGAACAGACTTGTAAACACACACTAACACTGTCTCAAATTCTCATCCCCAATTTGACTTTCCCTAAACTCTGGCCATGGTGCTCCAGATGAGGCACGAATAGGTCCACTTCTTGCTATGGTAAGCTGCCATACAAAAATGGGACTTTTTGTTCCCATTTTTTCAACACTGGGAATTTATAGGGCAGCTGCTGCAGATGTTCTCATAAAGAAAGACCAAACACTGATGTCAAATGGTTTACATACTGCACTAGATCACACACACTTGTTCTCTCAGTGAACCACAAGGGCCTTCCCTGGTCCCATTTATAATAAAACAACACCGCTCAAGCAGATAGAGTCAGGATAAATAGACTGGCCGCAGATAAGAAGTTCTCATCATCAGCCCTTTTTACAGATGACTGGATGATTTTGTTGAGTGACTGTCAAGTGGGCCGTGTTGGACTTTGATTGTATTTTCTGAAAAGAAGTTTGTTTTCAAACGTAAATGCAGCTTTACTCCCTGCCCCATTTTATGAAAAACATATACCGCTTGAAGTGACTATCCGCACTAGATTTTCCACTGTTGTGGATGTAAATTTTTTTTACAAAAAACAAGACACAAGGGCAGAATAAAAAAGATGAAATAGAAACGTTCAAGTAAAGTACAAGTACTTAAAGTTATACCTAAGGACAGCACTTGATTCAAGTTACTTAGTTACTTTTCAGTGCCTCTATTTAGTAATGATTGTGCATAACACAGCTATATCAGCTTTGAGGTTTTTCAAAGTGCCTCTTTAAAACCACCTGGATTGACTGAAGCACACTTATTTCTCTGGACAAGGTAGTTCTTGCAGCCATAGCTTTCATCTCAGTCAGATTAAATTGACTGAACTGAGGTTTGATTTGAGTAAAACATAGTGTTGGACCAGATGTTTGCTGAACTTCTGTTGGTGGTCATAATCAGCGGCTGGAGAGGAAGACATGAATGGAGGTCTTGTCCTGCTCTTGGGAGCTTCAGAAACACTCCATCTGTGTTGCACCACCTCTCTCTCATGAGTCAGAGGGTCTTCCATGGGCCAAAAGCAATTACTACCATGCCAAAAATGACAGTTTCAGCTTTATAAGCATTGATTGCAGAGATGGAAAAACATTTTTCTCATTTGTCTTCTCTTGTTTTCCCATTCACTTGCTTTCCTCCATTTCATTAGTTTCCTAATAATGCATTCATGGTGTTTGTGTGTTTTCATTGCAAGAAACTGAGAACAGATTAATATAATGTCGCATTTAAAACCAACATATACCACATGGTTTATAACCTCTTGCCACCTACCTCAGTAGGACATCATTATACTGCTTATAGTAGCACATGATTTAATGTGATGATTCTAAACTGAGTTAAAGCAAATGATATTGTCAGGGCCGCTCGGCGGCCGCTGCCTCTCCTCCACCTTTCTCTCCTCTATTTTCTTGATCTGCGGGATTCTGCACCTCAGCTGTGTTGCACTCGGTAATTGGCGACTCGTTTGTCGGTGCACACAGCTGGGGTGCATCCCGCTGATTAGTTTTCCTCCTTATTTATACCTCGGGCAGACGCTCCGCCTGGGCCGGATCATTGCGACAGGTAATGGGCAAATAACACATGTACGTGTACTTGGTTTGTACCCACAGTACATGATAGTTGTTTTGTTTTAACCGCGTAAATACACGTGTGCGAGTATGCTACGCTGACAGTAACTGTGCGTTTTGGCTTGGCTTGATCACAACATTTATGCGTTTAGCAAACGTACTACTCCCAACGCTGACAGTGACTGTGCCTTGGGTTTTGGTTGTTTGTTTCTTTTGTTCCTTTGTTTTCTCTCTCGTCCGTCGTCAACTCACCTGTTTATTCTGGTCTCCTTAACCATCTTCACTCCACCCCGGACTTTGTTCTCCCTCACCCACTTGGGGAGGGGGGCGTTTCTAACAGATATGGATTTGTTTGTATCTTACTATGACACATTGTACTTGCATGATGACATCTCCAGAGACTGGACTAGTGAAAGATAAAGTGTAAATAAGATTAATACTCACACACTCAAATTTTTTCCATATGTCACAAGGCCTCGGGGTCTCTTTGACTTGAGTGGCTCAAAGAGAGGAGTAATAATAATTTCAGAAGAGTTGATCACAGCAGGTGATTCTGAGAACACCGGAAAGTAACTCTTTCCTGCTATGTTAGCAGGTAACTCAGGGGACTCAGCTAAGCAATCACTCACATGTAAGTTAGAGTTCGCTTTGGCAGAGGACACAGGTGAGTAACCACTATCAGGTAAGTTGACAGAACAAGAGGTGACAAACAAGGAGGACAAACAATCTGTTACTGGACAAGCAGCATAAGGAAAACGGTTCAGAAAAGGAGTAGACAACTGAATAGATTAAGGAATAAACAAGTATCCAAACGGGAGCAGGCAAGGTTGGGGTCCAATAAAAGAAACAAGTTAGAAACAAGACAGGAACACAAGTAAGGACACCTAATGCACCCTAATGAACAATCTAACAAAAAACAAATGCTGGATGCTGGCTTACATACTGCCTGAGTGACTGCACAGAAAGGAAGCAGGTGAGTGCAGGCAGAGCAGGTAGCAGAAGCTGAAAAGAGAACACATGCTTACTTCCTTACTTTGCTTGATTATCCTCAAGGGAAATTGGATTTCAGGAGGTACATACACATAATCACATGCATATACAACTCAGCAGACATCTGAGCATACAGATACCTATGTAAACTATACATTTTAGCAATGGCTAAAATCTGTGCATTGTGTAAGGGGCCGGGTCTGAAATGACAGGGAAAACACAGGGTGGAGACAGGATCAGGACTGACTTCTATCATCTTGTCTTTATCTTGTTTATCACCTTTAGCAATTCCATGGATTGTAAAAAAAAAAATCATTGTTTATGCACTGGGAATTGTGTTACCTCTGATGAGGTCACGGACACTGATTCTGTCCACTGAGCTGATTCAGACTAGAAGCCTCTGATGACCCAGATTTGATGGCTTGTCCCTTTTTCTCCTGCAGTGAGATGGAAAACTCTGCAGCATATTTATGATCAAACTGCCTCTCATTACACTGTAACCCCATTGAGGAACCTTTTGTTAGTCCATTTTGGCCACACTAAGCACAGGCATCTGTCTGCATGATGTGTGCATCCTTGTGTTTTAGTAGTTTTGTCTTGCTATCACAGGCCCTTCAAAACAACTGATTAAATGGCTGACAACAAGAATGTTACAACAGGAGAGAGGTGCAATAGAAAGAAGAACAAGACTGATTTCTGTCTCTGTTTTTACTTCCTTCTGTCACCTTTCTGTCACAACCACCCTCCTCCTGACAGGCATGGTGAACAGGCACAAAGTTTATGGTCTCAGAAAGAATTATGTGGCCACTAAACAACATTTACCCCTGCTCCACTCTTCCAAACTACCCCTAACCCAACTTGAAAACCAACAGGGAATCAAAGAACTGCATGACTGCACATCCCAACAATGAGGCCACACAAAATGCACCAGCTCAGCAGAACTGGATGTCTATTCCTCAGGTCTTTGTGCATGCAGTTATGTTCCCCTGCTCTGAGGATCAGGGGAATACAACATGGTGTGTGTAGCAATTTTGTTTCTACATGGGTGATGTTGAGACAACTGTACATTGCTGTCTTGATTGGAAGGAATTTGTTTGCAGGAGTTGAATAGGGCACTTGTGTGCATGGGTGAATTTATATGTACAGTATATGAGATGGCTGGGCTTATGCCATAGGATGATT